GTTAATTTTTAAAATAAATATTTTGTTACAAATCAACTCTAACCTGCTTGAATTTAATTTTACATTACATTGTCATACCTGTTACAAGTCACCAAAAATTAAGATGACTTGCAAGTGGTGTATTATTGGAGGGTATACGCGGGTAYACGGCGTATACGCGCTACCACCAGTTTACTGATTTAGCGTATACCCTGTAAAATTACTAGAGATACGCAGGTATACTCGCGTATACCCACGTATACCTTCAAACAATTTTTATTGAATAACCAATTGTCTTATAGTTATAATCGCTAGAAAAAATGTATAAGATTAATTTTTTTACCGCATACATTGCAAACAGAACCAAATTATGTGATAAAAAGTAAGTTCTAACCTTAGAGTAATATTAAGTAATATAACTCTATGGTTCTAACTCCATCTTATCCYATTGCATGGCGTAAATATGTCTAATAACTTTTTGTTTTTTTGGGGGGGAGGAGGGTAGATAAATCAATTTAAATATAAAGACGCGGTGGTATACCCYACGACCCACCATAAGTTAATTTTAGGTTTGGTGAGAAATTTTTTTTTTTAGTGAGAGAGAGGATTAAGCGCCCCACCCCTCTCCCCTCAATATACGTCCATGTGCTGAGCGTATACCCTAGAAAAATTACGAATACATCACTGGCTCAGTGAGTTGCAACACGTATTTTTTTTTTAACTCCAATACCATTTTGATCAAAAAACTAAATGAAAGTTCTTATTCATGAGATCTGTACATCTGTAATTTTTTTTCACTTCAGTACGATTTTTTATGCTCAGAATACTAAGAAATATGTCAAAATCGTTTCAAATCACCACGATTGACGGATTGAATAATAAAACGGTGTGSAGAATGAAGATTATCGCTTTTGAGTATTTGTACTGTTAGAGATTATACGTCATCACGATTCTTGACGCACTATTATAGAAATACATTATCGCGTTGTTTACATTTCGTACAATTTAACGTGCTAACAACATAATGAGAATGATTTGTTTTTAAAACTTTTAGACTTTAGTCTATGTCTTTATGGATACAAAAAAAAGGTAATTGTGCTTTGTGCTAATATACATAAGATGTTTTCTACATCTACATAGTACTTAAACTTAGTACCTGAATCAGCTGTATTCYGTATATTAATTTTTTAGTAACAATATTATACATAATTATTGTTATATCAAATTCTTATCTTTCCGGACTTGTCATCAATAATATAAAACAATTAGTTTAAAATTAACCGTCGTCCATCAGTGTTTGACATCGTCAAAGGGATTTTATAAGGAAGAATAGGTGCAGGTGATAATGTGATATAGTTAGTAGGGGTAGGATTTTAATGCAATCATCTTTTTCTGGTGTTTTGAAACGTTGGTAAGTAAAAAATGTTGTATAGTATATAGTACCTATACAATTTTGAGTGATTCTGATTGTTATCAAGCAATTATTTTGCATTTTTTGACACAATTAATTTTAAATGCATTTTTCGACAATTTTAGTGCATTTTTTGGTTTTTATAAGATTTTTACAATTTGTTGATAAAATGAACAAACATTTGTTGCGAATTACTTGCGATTAACAAGAGACTTTTGATAATTTGCCAATAATAGGTATGAATAATAGAATCTAGGACAAAACGACACGGGTAAAAAACGTCATGGAAAAAAACGCCAAAAATGTTTTTTTTAAATCTAAAAATCACAATTATTGTTTTTAAGTTTAATAATAAAATAATGAGACAATATTATTATAAATAATTTGGTGAAAAACGTCAAATAAATAATAGTTTTGAAAAAAAATAATATCAATATCGTATAGTATATATTATGCTAATACCTTATAATTTGTTTTATTTTCTCATTATAAAAATGTTATTTACCTCGTGATTATCAGCCATATGACTATGGACTTTTCCAATTTGAGGATGTCCAATCTCTAAGTCCGTGTACATTGTTCCGCTACATTTTAATGAACGTTCTTTTGAACATCTCAACGTTATTCGTTTACGTCCTTGATGTTTCATTATATACGTATATCCACTCCAACAAATTTTATTCCCACCTTTATTTGACTTTATTACTACCATATTTTACAAAAAACCACGGTAATAAATATAACGTATCCACGTCGAAATGTAACTGAWATTTAGGATTGACACAACATGTATGAAAGTTTCAGTTTATATACATACTCCTATCATTGACCATTGTTATCGAAAGTCATAAATTGTAAACCTTTATTATACCCAATACTCAATAGATTATAGGATTATACGTATATTTTTGTATAAATATATATATATATATCCAGTCTACGACAGTTATTTCGAATGGGTTCGATAAGACACGACGACGCCTTGGGAACTAGCTGTTCTCACGATTTGCCTAATAAATAACCCC